CAGAAACCTAAGGATCCAACAACTGATTTTATAGAAGGAAAAAAGTGCTCCCAAAACAGCCACCAGTTTATTCCCCACTGCAAATAATCCAGGGGGAATTTGTATGTCATTGCAATTTCCACTGTAAATGCACATGTGCCTGTCTGAGCGTATGGAGTCTTTGAACAACAGATTCCATTGGGAATTCCGTATGGGCCCTGTACTACCTTATGCTTCCATGCAGTGTCCTCCCTAAGAGTTGGTTGCAACATGCTCTCAGCTGCACTCCCTGCAGCAAGATTAATCCTGGTGAGTGCATGACCCAATTTAGTTTTTAGGTTTAGCTAAATTCTTTTCTAAACTCATCAAAATTTTCAGAAATCTTCTTATTCATTGATATGAATGCCATGAATATTACTGACTTTCCTGAGCTCATGTTGCATGTGCAACTAGTCTGGATAGAGTTATTCAGTATTGTGGAGTTAAAACCCGTGGACTTTGAGCATTCTCCACTGCAATTCCCCATATTTCACAATATGTTAATTCTATTAAAAAATAGATATAGAAGTGATTGCACATACAGAGTAAATGAGACGAGCATCAAGTTTTGATAGTAAGCAAGCCACACATTCATCCAGCACCCTGCCTAGAATCACCAGTAAGACCCCCTGCACAACAATAGACTCTACCCAGTTCTGTAGTTGGTATCTGTACCAGAACTCATCCTTTTATATTGCTGAAACAAGTCTGCCAAAAGGTTACTCCATTAGAACTACAGATGCAGAGACTCCCAGTGGTACACAATTTCTCTTTCCTTACCATGTCAGACCATCTACAGCCTAAAGGGAACTTTATCAAGACCCACATAGCTTTGAAGGCTAGTGATCAGTAGCCTCTGGCACAAACTTAATTGGTACTGATCTTGCCCCCTGATTTGTCTTAGTTTTCTATGCTAGATATGTGCTTATGGAAGAACAAGGACAATCACTGGTAACAAGGTATGGTCCTAGTAGACTCTAGCATGGAATTGCTGTTATCTTGGTGCCAGCCCCTAGATGAGATCTGTTTTTCCGCTCCTTCTCCAGAACTTACATTCTTGCTGCCTTAGAGCATAGTACCCTCTCCTCTGTCAGTGGCTGATGTTGGACAAAGGCCTGCCAACTGTCAGGAATGGCTACCTTGTTTGATACTGTCCTGTGCCAAGTCCATAGTGACATGCTGTTGTAGTCCAATTAGATTTACTAGGGTCTGCCATTGCCTTCATGTGGAAACCGAAGCAGTCACTCTCAGTCAGCTGGTGTGAGGATGATTTGACCAGAGGAACAGGAATAACTGGATACAAGGCAGCACAGCAGCAGCTTTCTAGTGCAGATTGCTTTATCTTCAAGATAGCCTTATGAAAATCACAGAAATTGGTATAGAGACAAATCAGGTCAGACTATTTTATATCTCCCAGTCTATCTAGGATTGACCTCTCCATAAATAAGGAACTACTTGATTCCTTCACCTAACTAAGGTCCAGTGATTAGATACCAGCCACAACAATTTCTGTAGCAAAATGAGTAGTAACACAGTATCAGATCTCAATTAGGGTTCAGCTACTACAGCCACTTCAACTCAAGGGCTTTTCCATCTTAGTGGTACAGGAAGAAGTTACTCAAGAACAGTAACAAAAAAACTTTGGGGAAAAAAAAATACATTCACTAGGCAACTCTGCCTCGTGAATTGTCATGCCGTACTGGCCAAGTATGACTTAGGAAGAGCTCTTTTGTCGAAACTTCCATGTGACAAACAAAGCTGGGATGTAATTGGAGATGGCCATTTTTCTCTGAGGCAGCAAAAGAAGTTCAGGGAAATTAAGAAGGCCACTTGGTGGCCATGACAGCTTAACTGATACTAAGGCTGAATCTAAATTGATAGCCCTAGGAGTTATGTTGTGTCATGGCTTCAAGCACTGGTAAAAGCCTCAACTGAAAAGCCTGTTTGCTTAGAGCAGTGATTCTCAACCAGGGTCTCATGTTGCTAAACATTCAGTTTTGTTGCAGTCCTTCTGAGTTCTTTGCAACAGGAGAATTGCTCTGTTTTTCCACAGTCCCAAAGAAAAGTGGAAACTGAGAGCTGGCATTTTCATATGGGTATTGAGTCTAATACCCCTTAGTCTTGATAGAATTACTTAGTAATTGAACAATATTCTGCAGTAGCTGAAAGATTTGACAACCACTCTGACTTCCTAGGGTCTTGCTTCCCAAGCTTATACCAAAAGCCAGGATTTTCTCAGTCCTTGTTTATAACTAAGGGTCTATCCAACTGGAGGAGGCAGTCATTGATTTTGAAGGCAGATCAAGAGGCTGACCGCCATTTTCGTGGGTTTATTGTGGCGGGACCCCCCACCTCTGGCCAAAGGGCCCTGGTGGCCCCATCCCTCACTGCTGATTGGTGGAGAGGGGCAGGGCCCCATGACAAGCAGCCCTGTCAGCCAGCCAGTGGTGAGGGGCAGGGGGGGCAGACCCCCTCCCCCCCGCGGATTTCACAGAAATGGCCCGATTTTTTTTCCACAAAATCACGATTTTTGAGTAGGTCCCTAATTATAACCTAGGTGCAGAGACATCGCTAGGTAAGCTGAGTACCCTGCCAAGAAAGAGGTCCAATGAGAGTTGCCAGCACTTTTTCCTAGGCAGTGAATCTGACACTTGTATCATGCCAACAAATTTGGCAGAGCTGTTAGAAGACATATCAGATCAAATCCAGAGCTTACCTGTCTCCTTTTTACCCAATTTGATTTTTCTATGATATTAGGGAGGTGTGGATACTCACAATTCTCACATATGACTACCCCATCCAGTTACGCTCTTTGTGCTGTTGGTCTTCCTTCTCTATCTTTTCTCAAGGAGTTTGCTAATGATAACCTGTTAGAAACAGAAATGATCTTACTGCTTTTATAAAGGGGCCATAAAGAAGGTGCCAACAGAATTTGGGGAAATATGCTTCTACTCATAATATTTCTTTATGCTGAAGAAGAAAGTGTCTCTTCATCCTAACCTAGACCTGAGAAGGATTAGCAAATATATGCCATCTGGACCTAGAGCTAATGTGCTGCTTCTCTCCATTTTTTACTCTCTTCAAATTTAAGACTGTTTGGTGACTTTCTTGATTTGTGGGAGGTGTTTCCATTTAACTATTCCCCCCTGCCACAAGAAATACCTGAAATACACAGCACATTACGAACATAGGCACTGAATTTTAAACTCGTTATAGCATCAACAGTGTTCACAAAATGGATGTCAGTGTTGTCAATTCACTGAAGGAGAAAAGAAATTGTGTGCTTGTTCTTGATAGCTGGTTGGTAAGGAGCAAGTTCCAGCAGAAAACTGTAGAAGCCCTGTCCTCTTCCTGTTCTTGTTAGAGCTCCATATGTCTTGCACCAACACACATGGAAGAGCACATAGGAACATGGAGACCTGTTGGTAAGAGCTTGCTTACTGAAAGAATGGTTCAGTACCATCAGTCCCTAGCAAAAAACTGAAGAGCAAGCTACATGTGTGGGGCTG